ACAGGTGACGAAATGACGTTAGCGTAATCTGAAATCGAAAGTATACAATAATGTATATTATATGTAATGCATTCACCAGATCAAGAATAACACGCGGCGTGTCGTCGCAACCCGCACTGGAATCGCGCGAAAGTATAACCGGACTGACTTTTGGCGGGCTTTTATATTTTTGGCTCTCGGATGAGGCGCGTTATTACTTCATCCCAACATAGTATTTCCTTTCCCGCGAAGCTTAGCGTGTGAAATTCGTAGCGACCGCGGCATTGAGGTTTCTATTTCGCGATTACGATCGTTTTCATCTCTGTTCAATATAACATGGACATCGAGATCGGTATCGCTCACTCTCTATCAATTAGTATATTGCGAATTGGAGAACGTATCGAACATACTATTCGTCCTCTCGCGCTGTGTGTCACCACGGATTTTACACGTTACTCCTCGCGTGCCTGAGATAAACAGAGAGACTTTCAGTCAGTGTCTGTGATACATACCGTCCTCATGAGTTCTGACCAAGATAGGATAACTCGGGGGCCCGTCACCTACTCTGGTCCCGGCCAGTATCCAGATCCGATACTCGGTCCACTTTTTGAGCTCGTCCAACACGAAACGCGTGTCATTCAGTTTGATAATCCTCGCCTCGGTATCGGAGCGACCGCTCTCGACGATTTTCAGCTTGTAGTAGGCGATCCTTCCGTTGGAGCGTTCAGCGGTCGGCGGTTCCCACGTTACCAATATGGAGGTCGGACTGATCGCCTTGCCGGTTACATTGCGAGGTGGAGAACCGGGGACTGTATAACACTCAATTATAGGAGGGGAAAAAAACAAAATCAGGGGTCATAAAAATCGGCAGTTACCGGTCGATCATACTGGTTTCTGACTTGAGGTCAAACACGAGGATACGAAAAGTCGCCGCGTTAGTATTGGTGTAGCGAAGCGACTGCTGCTTCTTTGTTATCGAATAACTACCAATAAAAATCTTTTAACTAACATTTTTTAGAATTTCAAATAGATATACTTTTTGTTTTAAAATGCAATGGTGATAGCAGGCATTTTTCCAATGAGCGAATAATAAATCGGTTAGCGACGCCAAGCGACAAACGAACGAGTTCTCATATTCCTCGATTTGATATTCTCAACACCGAGACGAACGCACAGTCGACGATGACTGCCGAGGGATATCAACGAAACGATGTGTTTGGTTAAGGTTTCAGAGAGGTGTAAAATATTCAAGGTAAAAAGTCATGAATCGATCCTTGAACAGTCGAAAAAAGATGTGATTAGAGACAGTTCTTCCGGAGCGGCTTATGTTAACTCGGGCGTATAATCCGCAGAGTTAACGAATTACACGTTAATATAATTGCAAGGGAACGAGACAACGAAAAACTGAAGAACGGACGATAAATCAATCATTATGTCGAGAATGAAAAGAGGTGCCCAAAATGCACACATATATCAATGCAGTGCTTAGTGCAATTTATATGTATGATATGTACGTATATATATAGATATATATATAAAGTGGCATCCAAAAACGGCTTTCTTATTTGCAACGCATGCAGTCATTCTCACTCTCCCACACTTCACTTGGTTCAACGTTATTCTCTATTTTTCTGTCTTTCCCTTTCTTTTTACGCTCTCTTTTCCTTATACGTTCTCATTAAACGCGTTCTCGAAGACGAAAGGTCTTCGCTTTCTTTTTTCTTTTTCTTTCAAAGGCTCTCTCCAAGGTGTTGTGCGTCGATAGCTTACGCTACTTGCAGGAGCGTCTAGCGCTACAGCACCTCCTACCTGCTGTGCCATCGCGATGCACGATCGTACGCGAAGATCCGGAGGACACAGGTGCGTCCTACCCGAGATAGTCTGGGATATCGAGTAGCCGACCGCCCCTCGATCTCGCGACAATCGCGTATCAGCATGCGTCTGGCACTCCTCGCTGCATGAACTCATTCGATTTCGTATACATTCGTGCGCGTTCTGCTTACCGTACTGTTTGGTGCGAACCGGATACGGTATCGTCGTGGCACCCTCTCCTCTCTGACTCCTCGCGGCCAGCCACACGTAGTACAGGGTGTTCGGATACAGGCCAGTTAGGGTGTAGTTCTCGGTGACCGGAATCCTACGATGATGCTTCTCCTGATTCAGAACAGAAATGCCGATAAAATTATTAATCATGATTCGTAAAATTCCCTTTTTTATACCTTCAATTCTAATCTTTATTTCGACTGGAAAAAATCTTTCGCTCTTTTTAGCATTTCATTAGAAAAAGATAAAGGATTATTGACTAAAAGAAGAAGTTTATTTTTATATTAAAGATGTGTAACTACTTACCTTTGCATAAGTGTCGTTCCAATATAGCTCATAGCTGAGAATATTCTCAGCGCTATGAGCGGGCTTGCTCCATTGGAGCATTACTTTGGTCTCCCCGATATCGACCGCCGTTAGCATTTCTGGTTGACTCGGTACCCCTTGCTGAGTTTTGGTTTGCACCGGGAGACTGAGAGGTCCAGGGCCGACACTCGTAAGCGCTTGGACTCTTATGGTATAAATCGTATGCGGCGTCAGATCCGAGATGGTTGTTAACTGGTTGTTGTCCACCATTTGGTACTGCCACGACACCATGGGCTGATTCGAATCCGTCGTGTAGTACACTTTGTATCCCTGTGAAGGGGCATATCGCGCGCTCGTTAGCGATAACGTGGCGATCGCGGGAAAATCGCGATGACAAATAATTTTGAAAAAGACACCGACCGTCACTTGACCGTTTGGGGTTTCCGGTTCGTCCCACTGTATGACCATCGTGCTAGAGCTCAACGGTCGTACCTGAACTTTCCGCGGCGCTGTACCGGGTTCTAAAAAAGAGATTACCGGTTTTTAGTGATATTAGGGAGAACGGACGAGGAGCAGTGCACGTCAGTTAATCACACGATAAGAAGCCCTTCGAAAAGAAACCTTTCAAAAAAAAAGAAATAAATAAATAAAAGAAAAAAGAAAACACTGCAAGAACCCAGAGCAGGTACGATGTAAAAATAGGGAAGAGAAAAACGAAATTAAATTTTATTTTACGTCACTAAGACACTACGGTGATAAATGAATATACATCTTCAAAAAATCACACCGTACGCAATTAACTACAAAGATATTCAGACGAAGGTGTGCAAGTGTGATGTATATCAAAGATGGCAAAATATGTACGTATCTGTGTCAGCAAAAGTGATGTGTGTGCGAAATAATGAAATGATAGAAAACCAAAATTAAGAATTACACAGGGGAAAAGGTAAAGAAATCGGTGAGAATCACTACGCACTCTTAGTATATGATTTAACTTACTGGCACCTCCATTCGTTGATTCCGCTATCCAAAAAAAATGTCAAACGATTATTGTCAATTCTCGATATATAAATGGGCAATAAATGCGAAATGAAAATACGAACTAGAAGAGCGGTATACGTCTCTTTCGTATTTTCACAAGGTGAGAAGTGTGCTACTATTCTGTTAAGGAAGGTGCAATTTCGCGTGCTGTCTCCCCCACGTATCCGTTTCTCGCCCTTCCTCTTTTGCAAAAAAAAAAAGGAGACGGAGAAAGAGATAGAGAGAGTGAGAAAAGTGAAAGAGGCGGTGAGAGGCTGGGATATAGAGGCGAGAAAATACACAAATGACACGAGACGTCGAAGCGCGACGAAACGCTGTGGAACGGTCCCGCAAAAACACTAACACATTGGTGCAACAAAGAGCATATTGGGGGAGAGGTTTTGGTGATAGGTGAAAAAAATTTTCTTGTCACTTACATGGATCAAATCGTGCGTCCACGGCGGACAGCATGGAAAAAATACAGAATTTCCCTCAAAAAATGTGCGTAAAAATTCGCTCCTCTTTCTCGATGGTGTACAAAAATTCTATCTACGTGCAAAAAATTCACGCTCATGTCGGAGTAGTGCCGTTCCTCCACTACACCCTTACATTATCGCTGTTCGATCCTCGCAAACGTGGATGCGCGGAAAAAAATCGACAGTGTTCGAAATGTGTTTCGCGATTTAACCGGCGAGTAAGCTTACCGCACGTTTATTCGTTGTGAGGCGCAGAAATGAAACGTGAGTGGGTTTACTTTGTCATAACGTCATGATATAGACGCCCAATAAAGCTTCCGTGTACGTCAAAGATGATTGATTTAGTAGATGTCGTTATTTCTTGATAAGCTTAATCGAACGATAAGTTCAAGACTGACGAGAGAAGAATGTTGATAAAATAAGATATCATTATGTAGAAACGATATTTTCCCTCATTTGTTAATTTGACAGCAAATTAGAGAAAAATCTATTTTTTTACGCATAATTTAATTATAGCAATATAAAGACGTAAAGACGTCACATAGTTGATCTGTTAGTACACGTACAATATCAAATGAAAATTTGTCTTGGAAAAGTCGATTTTCCGATTAATACGTGTTACGAGATTGGATGCGCGAACCATACATTTCAGAAAGGAAAATAGGAAAATAGTCGTTTCCAGCCACGAGAGAAGCGTAAAAATGATTAGAGAATAGTACAATAATAAATGCTAGTACTGACTTGTTTCACCAGTGGTGACTATCACCGGGGCACTTGGGGGACCACGCCCGATGCTGTTCACAGCTATTACGTAAAGCTCGTACTCCGTATACGGGCTGAGACTCCTAACATGGTAGTACATCGTCGTGATACCGGATATCTCGGCATATGCCTGGTTCACGTGCTTCGGTTTATGCTGAATTACGTAATACTGCAGCTCATCCGGTCCTTTGTAGGACCAGCTCAGCTTCACCGACGTCGCGGTGATGTCCGACACTTGAACGTTCTCTGGCGGGCCGGGAAGAGCTGCAGGGGGATTATTACGGCTTTACCTCTCCGACACTTGATTTATAAATATCGCATCTAGTCTCATAGAAAATTAAATTATTTATTCGAACGCGTATAAAATCGTCGCGATATTTAAGAGCTATTCTAGAGAAAACGTTGGAAAAATTAAATTTATTAGGCGAGTAACGGTAAGAATGTTTTTTTCCCGTGAAGGTCCTCTTCCAGCTAGTCCTCGGCAGTGTAAATTGCTTCATGGCGGTTGTAGTTATCGCAACGCAAGGTCTAAGCTTGCTGATCGATTAGTTATCCGGTGAATGTAACGCGCGATTAATCGGTTCGCATTATGTAATCTGCGATAATGTAAATTGGAAAACGCGAAATGCAGAAAAGATTTATAAAATAAATTAAAAGAGGGAGGAGATCCAAAAAAATTGGAGGAAATTCGATACGAACATTGAACTTTCACCATCGTGGTCGCCTCGATTACACCAAGATCGCTGGCCGCCGTGCACGTGTAATTAGCGGATTCCTTGATGTCGGTCAATATCAGGACGTTTTTGCCGACTGGCAGATTGTCCTCCGGCGTTAGATCGACTGCCGGGTCTCTTCTCCATTTGACATAGGGCATAGGCGCGCCTACCGCGACGCAGGTGAGATTTAGTGCTCCTCCCAGCATTATCTCGCTCACCGCCGGTGGAGGAATCGAGAAGCTTGGTGAAACGCGACGTACTAAGCAACAACACAATCAGGTGTAAATACTCTATCCTTCAATCACTAAATTTTATTTAGCCTAATTTCTCTTAATTTTTTTATCTCAAAATTTAAAAATTTAGAAACTTAGAAATTTAGAAAAAAAATTTTTGTTTGATTTAGTAATAGAATTATATTAAATCAAGCCAAATTTTGTTGCCCATGTGATCATTGAAATTTAATTAATTCATAAGAATTTCTACGTTTATAATTAAAAACCTGTTATTTGTTGTTTTGTCATATTTCTCGAATAAATCCAATTTGTAACTGAAAAATGAGATACTTCTGGAAAAAAAATGTATAAAAAAAAGATTTAATACATAATAGAGTTTTGCTTTTATATAATATGCATGCTTGTTCGCAGTATGTAAGTTACATATGATTGAGCGCACGTGACCGTTTATTTATTTACGAATGACATTAAATCGAAACGCGCGGAATGGCGCATCCAATTAGGGAATAATTGCGTTTGAATACGTTTTACGATGGCGAATTAACCGTGCCCGGTGAAAATTCGCGAAACACAGCAAAACTCCCGAACGATTATTTTGTAAAGCTGTCGCGCAGATTTTGTAAATCGCGGCTATGACGATTAAGTGGAAACGCCGGGATTCGAAATCGCAAGGAACAGAAAGTCTCGGCACGTAACATGCGCTAGGTGAGTAGTGCGAGCCCTTTGTACCGCCCGTTTAGTTTAATTACGTCCTAATTGCGTTGCATTAATTTTAATTACGAACAAGAAAACGTCTACGTTTATGGCATTGGCGTGACTGTACGACGAGCTCAAGCCGCGTTCGTTATTTGGTCAACGAAAACGTCCTTTTGCGGCTTCAAATCCGCAAATTTTCATTAGAAACATTTTTTCCTGCTTTCATGTCGCATTGCTCTAATAAGATATTATTAGCGGGAGACGGTTATAAAGACGATGAAAAATTATATTTATTAACTATAACTAGGAAATAAATGCGCTCGAAAATTAATTAATTTAATCTACATTACGATATTCGCATGCGAGCATTTGTAAGAGTCATCACGTACCTTTCACGTACAACGTAGTCGACTTGGAGTACTCTGTGCCTACGGAATTGTTAGCAACGCATTCATACTTCCCCTGATCGCTTACGTCGGATTCGGTAATTTGCAAGGCACCTGAAACACAAATGTAAAATGTTGAATCAAAAATATATTCATCATTCATAACGTTATCGATTGTAGCCGTGCTTTTAAAAGCTCTAAATGTACACACGAGGAATTGTTTCCCCGTATTTCCCATAATATTACATCCGCATATTCATATATCCGGAATACCACCATTTACATATTGAATTTTGTTAATCATCATTATATAATTATCTTAATATTCTTAATTAACATAACGCGAGCAGATTTTTTTTTATTCGGACTCAGATTTATTATTAACACGTGAAGACGAGCGTCGTTTCTTCAGCGGACCGCGCAATCTCTCTGTCTCGCGTAATTATTTAAAAGTATGGTAATACGAATGCGGTAACGAGCTTGACGGAATCACGTTTGAGTGGACGTCTATATTCCACGCCGCTCGTCGCGTCTTTTACTTCATTTTTCCGCCGCTAATAGAGTTCCTACCACGTCCTGCGGAGACGTTGAGCTCGACTGAGGGCTGGGAAAAGGTCGATCTCCCCGTGTCGCTCTCTCCTCCCTTCACCCTGTCCGTCCGTCTCCTTTTCCCACCCCTGATTCGTACATTCCGTTTTCCGTCCGGCTTCGTGCGAGGCTTTCCACGATGCATCAGCTCCCTCGGAGCGCGATACCGCGATGATGAACTGGCCGTTGCGAGGCGTGTGATTATCTTCGCCGACGTCACTACCGGCCCGGTATAATTCAAGCCCTCCCCGTGACCTTCTCCACCCCACGAAGGAACCCGCCCTGCCCATTCGTAAAGTAAACACACCGGCGAACACCGGGAGTCGAGAATGGGGCGTAGAATCGAGGGACCCTACTGTCCTAGGGATCGATCGCCCCGCTTGTGACCTTTCTGATATTTTATCGATTATGACGGTTATAATCAGGGAACGATCGTGGGTGAGATAAGCGGCGTCTATCGCGCAAATAAATTGTGAAGGACGCGAGGGCGACGCTACGATCGCACGACAAGGTGCGGGCGCCCGTTAAAAACAATACAAAGTGCAATGTATTTTGTCTGATGGATATGGATTGCAACACGATGCATTGGGACGAAAAACGCGAATAGGAGGATTGGTTTACCTCGAAATTCGCGGTAAACTCCGGATATTTTTTCCCTCGGAAGACAAATACCGTGCATGAACCGTGCGTGTTGTTTCCCTTGCGAGCGAACGAACGAAACATGCGCGCGTAGTGGCTGTTAAAGGATTCCGTTTGGTTATTATGGCTCCGGGTTAAAACGAAGCCCGCAATTATCGGTGTGACCTGATGCGGCCTGTTAATTTCGCAGGCCGCCGAATTTTCGTCGGGTGTCGATTTCGGAATTCGTTCGAGTAGATTCGCGTGCCATACGTGGCGGTTTCCGGCGGCCGCATTGCGATCGTGACTTCGATCGTGGAGGAAAGAAACATGGAAATGAATGGCGACATAATTAGGAATTTTTGGAAGCTCTCTCTCACTCGCTAAAAATCTGAATTCTCAATTAATATGTATTTATTTTGATGGCTGAGTTATAAATTATCATTCTTCTTTCTTTCCCCTTCATTTTGTATCAAATATTTGACTTTACTAGTTAATATCAATTATCTAATAAAATTTAAATTCGTTAATTATCGATCGAAATTCGACGTGATGTGACAGCTCAATTCCGCGCGGAGCATAAACAGATATGACGGACGTCGCGTGTCAACGCGAACGCATTTTGTCTGCATTTAAATAACGTGAAATTTTCTTTATATTTATGCAATAAGAAAAGATTATGCGCGTTTTAACTCCGCAGCAGGTATTACGATTTATCGAGATAGTCCTAGGTAAGGAAAGAACTCGCCTACGATAGAATTCGGTAAAGTATTCGGTAGATAGATGGGAAAGAAACGGAAGAGAGAGTAAGGGTCGAGGGTAGAAAACACTCCATCACGAGTGAGAAGCGAGGCGGACTGATATCGCATACGATCGGAATACGTAATCGTGCCTCATCTACAATTTCCCGTAAGCCAACCAGGAAGGAACGCGCCCGGTCGTATTGTTATCCCGATGGAATCACGTGCGCATTGTTAGCGCACCGACGCGAAAAAGTTATACTGGAAAAAGTTACCTGGAGGAAAGTATGGTTTATAACAATATGGATTATTTATTCGCCATCCGGAAAATTTCCCTCGATGCAAATAGAAAATATGTCAAGAATATCAACCACGATTTCTGATACTTTTTTTACAATTTGAAATTATATCGCTTTCATCGGATTCAGGAAGTAGAATATACGGTAGAAATTTGTCCTGTTACTGTAAACTGTCAATTGATGTTTTTTTTATCTCTTCTAATTAATTTTCTTTTGAACTCGTTAATACCAAGCATCTATAAACGAACTACCTGATAAACTTTCGTGCCTATCGGAATTTATTTTCCAACTCGGAAATATAATCTCATTACAACATTTTAATTTGTTAAAGTTTTGTTGTGTCTGTAATTTCTTCAAGTTGATGCTTGTTGGTAAATTATTTGAAAAAGAAATTTTTTGCTTATTACTTCAAAAATTCGAATGTCAAATGATTTGTTCACAGTAGAATTTCGTGTTTTTAGTAATTTCTCATGCTAGATTACATTATGATAATTTTTACGACGCGAGCATATCAACATTAAAATTAATTAACGTCTTTTTCTCTTCATCTTATGAGTTTTAGCGCTCGTTTTAAAACCTTGTTGTCTGGTCGGTATTGTAATTTTTTACGCGTATACACGATAAAACGTATATGTACGAAGTAAAGAACAATGCAAAATTAACAGGTGAATGCGCAAATTATCGTCGGTTTAACGATAACATTTCTACGAGCGCTAATAACTTCTAATAACGGTTTAAAATATTCATCGCGAAGAGGGACGTTTCTGGTGTTGCACAATTAGATCTCGAACACATGGAATACGATTCAAGATGACAGAACATATGTCGTGTGGGCTGTTCCGTATAAATTTTAAATAATCAGCGCACACGAGTCGCTTTAAATACGGTCGGCACACATAACACCAGAGAGCATGAAGAGATATTTGCGTTAAAAACCACTGACATAATACCCTGTTCAACTTTTCATAATCCCAGTTTACCGTATCGATCGGATAGTCGAAGTCAGGAATATTTTAAGTGGGCGGTAGAATGGATAGCGCGCGATATCTCTATCTTTCTGCCATAAAATTTCACGGTGAAAAATGATTCGTTTTCCGAAACTACGTATTTATGCATATTAGACTTTTCCTGCTTCTGAAAGTGGGATAAAGACCCGGGACTAGGCGATAAATATATCGCGTCAATTTGTAATCGCATATCTCACTCGGACGTATTAGTTCTTCAAGTTTGACTTGCGCCGTTAAACAAATAACAGCTCGTATATCTCTCTCATTAAAGCGAAAGTATCATATATCTTGAGAAAATTTTCATGTTTTATCTCTTTTATCTCAAAGATCGATGCAATATACATGCGTAAATGTCTAAGCTCGAACCGTGCTTTACGTTGCACAAGAGACATGGGAGATGGATCGTATCGATTCAAATGCAATTTTTAATATCATACCTTGTATCACATATAAAATTACGAAAACTTCTATTTCCATGTTTTATTTCAACAACGATATAATTTCTTGTTTTTATTAAATAGTTGTTGTCGGCGCATTTTGTTTTTATATCCATGGGATATGCAACGAGATACGCGGCTGAATAAAAATAATAAGTAAATACCGTGGTCCTCTCGCACTAGGTCGATCGATATTTTCAGGACATGACAATTAACGACTTACAATTTTGATACAACAGCAGATTTTTGATGGAAAAAAATCGGAAAAATTAAATCTATCAAAGATATCCGTCCCGATCCGTCCCAGATCATATATCCGTCACGATCTTAACGATCGAGTAAAGACTTGAGTGAATTATCAAATCGATATCTGAATTGTAAAAAATAGAGGTAGAGATAGAATTTGGACATGTTATATATAAATAATTTATACTAATAATTACTATTATATATACTAATAATTTTAATATGCTATATATCTAATAATTTGAGGTATCTTTATTTTATAAGTTGAAACTTTATAATTCATTTTTACAATTCGTTTTGTACTATATTTTACCGAAAAACTTATTCGATTAAACTAAAAATTCTATTTATAAAATTTTTATAAAATATAAAAATTGTCCCATATGTGAAATATTATGCATACTGAGATTAAAGTGTAGAGGCAGAGGGCAAATGAAACGAAACGAGATATAAAAATGTCCTCATGTTTTCCAACCGGCTGATTCAATTTTGTAGCTTTGCGATCGACGGATGCGCCGGTGGAGAAGTGTCGAATTTTCCTTATGCTTTGGAAAATCGTATTCGCGTTCTCTTCCGCCTGTCAGTAGGCGCAGCGACAGCATTCTCGGGCCTTCCCGCGAGATCCCGGACGATTCTACAGGGATATGCAGCGACACGAGCGTATGTGCGCACGATGCAGATGAAAGGGCGATGCATGGCCGTGTTATTTGTGTATTTGCCAACCAATATTGAAATATCTTCTCTTGCATTTAATATTACGAGAGCAAATGTGACGCACGCGTGCGCATACGTACACGCGTGCGTACACGCGTACGTGTACGTATACGAAATGCGCGAGGCGCGTTCGTCTCGCTCTGTCTCTTCGTCTCATCCTCCATCCTTCTGGGGTAGCAGGAGTGCGTCGCGGAGTGGAATCGAAGGATGAAACGGGGATGAATTCGCCGCGCGCACGGCTCGATGAATACAGGATTTCATTCGGATAGAATACAAATAGGAAATATGTTTACACACCGAAAGCATTCCGAAGTGTACCCGCCGCCGGTACACCTTCGATGCGCCCGTCGTGTGCACGTTGCCGCGATACTTTTTAATTCCGACGTGCGCATTCAACGCGGAGTTTTGCTTCAATTACATTAGAATTTACATCCGCGATCTTGTGATTTATAGCTCTCAATCGTT